TTTTTCTTCTTCATGGCACCTCTATCACAACTTCTCCTCAGCACAAGGACTAGTTTTATACACAGACATGAAACACGCAATACTACCAATATTATTTTTTTCACTATTGACTTTACACACTGCAGTAACATTACTTAAAATATTGTAGACAATATATCATTATCAAAAACAAAATTCATAAAAAAAGCACTAGGCTGCTATGTATCATAGGACAAGTTTGTATGTGTTTTCATTTTCTGGAAAAGGCTGAAAATTAGTCTAGAAGAGTTGTTATGCAAATTAATCCCAACTTTTGGAATTGTACCAAAATAGACATGTGCAAAGGTGTCAAATTGAAATTACCACATGCAATGCAAAACGAAATTTTTGAACAAATGCTTCAGAATATTTCAGTATCCTACACAATTCTCAGAGAAACCACCCTTTTCCCCACACAATTTCAGTTTTTTTCTCTCCCAAAAAGAAACTGAACACACTGTGTGGTAAGATTAGTGATGGAAAAAATGGTGTTTATTTAGTAAGTGACACAGGTTTCAACAGAATGAATAAACACCGCTAAAATTAGCATTAGTCTCTCACAGCTCAGTGGTATAAAGCATCTGAAGTCCATATTACTGATCAAAAGCCCAAAAGTTTGACTCTATTTCAGTGACCTAAATTTTTAAGTGAGCTATAGTTTAGGGTCCTTCAGCTGCCTCAAAATAATGAGTGTTTAGCCTACCCTCCCCTCCCACTGCCCCAACATCAGGGTCTAAAATCCACAGCGGTGTTTCGTTAAACAATATTATTTTCATAAACAATTCATTGTTACCAGAAATCTACCAGATAGACAGATTTATAAACCTTCATTCAAACAAGATTCAACCTAAGCCTAAAAGTTTACGAGGTGGTGGATAAGGAAAAACAAAAATTTAGAGCCATATATATATAACAAACGTCTGTAAGACTGTATTTCTATGCATAGTGCTGAATTTTTGAGATTTTTTGGGGAAGCCCAATTTCAAGAAAAACAAGAGTTATAATTATTATTACGCCATTGTCCCGATTTGAAAATTAAATCATGAAATGGTTAATGCTATTTTCTCACCTTTACAACACTGATAGGTTTCCTTGAAAGATGATACGAAGTGTAAGCAAAGAACGTCAGTATGAGGACCCATCCACGATAGCTGGAGAAAAGATGGAATGCAGTAAATGAAC